ACTATGGACAAGAGCCAAAGTATAGAAAGAGCCCAAAAGTCCATCAATGGATGAATGGATAAAGAAGATGTAGTATGTATATATATATACACAGTGGAAGATTCCTTGGCAATCAAAAAAGGATGAAATCTTGCCACTTGCAGGTACTTGGATGGAACTAGAGGAACTAGAGGAACTAGAGGAACTGCTAGGCGAAATTAGTCAAAGACAACTATCACGTGACTTCACCCATCTGAGGACTTCAAGAGATGAAACAGATGAACGTAGGAGAAGGGAAGCAAAAATAATGTAAAAACGGAGGGGGACAAAACATCAGAGGCTCTTAAATACGGAGAACAAACAGAGAGTTACTGGAGGGGTTTTGGGGAGGAGATGGTCTAAATGGGCGAGGGGCGGGTGTTAAGGAATCTAGTCCTGAAATCATTGTTGCGCTATATGCTAACTAACTTGGATGTAAGTTTTTAAAAAAAGTAAATTTTTAAAAGACTAAAATAAAATAAAATTTATTTAATTGGAGTACAAATAAATAAATTCACGTGCTGGAGAAAAAATCTTTTTAAAAATTTGTAAAGCAATGCGTGTTGTATCATAATACCTTTACAAATTCGAAATATGTTTTTGTATTTATATGTTTCTACATGGAGTAGCGTAGCTATGAATGGAGTGAGAACAAATTCAGGATAGTAATTCTCTCTGGAGTAGACACGGGTGAAATGGGGTAGAAGAAAGTACACAGCAAACGTTAACTGTTTCAATATTTAATCTCCTTGATTTTTTTTTTCCTCAACATGCCTTTGTGATTCATCCGTGTTGATAAAACATAGTAGCATCAATTTTTAAAAAAATTTTTTTTACATTTATTTATTTTTGAGAGAGTGAGACAGAGCGTGAGCGGAGGAGGGGCAGAGAGAGGAGACACAGGATCTGAAGGAGCTCCAGGCTCTGAGCTGTCAGCACAGAGCCCGATATGGGGCTCAAACCCCTGAACCACCGTGAGATCATGACCTGAGCCGAAGTCCGATACTTAACCGACTGAGCCTCGCTGGCGCCCCAGTAGCATCGATTTTTAAGAAGAGTAAATGTCAGTATGTTTCATAAGCCTGTGTTGTTACCTTCCTCAAAATTCTGCTTCATGCCCTTATGGGATTTCGTTTTATCAACGAAGTCATGCAGATGCTTGATTTCTAAAAACAAACTTTTTTTTTCTTTCTAGAAGACTCAAGAATTTCTTCCTCTTTAGAACCAAAACATTTACCAAAACATAACTAGCCATGGGACTTCTTTCACTGACTAGTTCTTAAACATAGTGAGCAGCTATTTTAGCTTCCAGCAACATTTTCTTCTTGTTCTACCGTGATAGTAACAATAAACTCCGGTTTAAAAATTGATGCAAGGGGCGCCTGGGTGGCTCAGTCGGTTAAGCAACTGACTTCGGCTCAGGTCGTGATATCACGGTTAGTGGGTTCGAGCTCCGCATCAGGCTCTGTGCTGACGGCTAGCTCATAGCCTGGAGCCTGCTTCGGATTCTGTGTCTCCCTCTCTCTCTGACCCTCCCCTGCTCACGCTGTCTCTCTCTAAATAAATAAATAAAACATTTAAAAAATAAATAAATAAAAAATAAAAATTGGCACAAAATACACCTTTCACTTTTTAAAGAACACATTATTTCGTGAAGAAATATTCCTACTTCTAAAATAATGAGACAGGGAAAACATGTCAAAGCTTAAATAAAGACTGTGTTATTTAACTCACAGTATAACTTCCAGGCCTCTTAGAAATCTCGTGTCGAATTCATCCTTTTTTTCCTCTTCGATTTTTCATACCCACTGTGTACTAATGTTTTCTGCTTAACAAAAGATGCCTAAGAAGTCCAGCGGTATTAATGCTCTCACAGCGAGCACGCCGTCCACATGCCTCGGAAGTGTGCTTTTGTTTTCAGAAACCATTATTTACCGAAACTGGCATCGTGGAAGCCACAAAGTGGAGGCTTCCTGCATGTCTCCTGACTTCGCATCAAAGAAAAACAGAGCTGCACACCCACCCCACCCTCCATTACTGAAAATCCATAAAACAAATGTGCTGTTAATAGGCCAAATTACTTATCTAAAATGGTAGAAAGAGTGGAAAGGAAAGCCATATAATAAAAAGGATAGGAAAGATGGTACAGTGGCAATAGCCAGATAACGCAAACTTAATATCTTTTTGAAAAACTTTTTTAAAGATTTTTTTTTTATGTTGATTTATTTTTGAGAGAAAGAGGCAGACACACGGAATGCGAGCAGGGGAGGCGCAGAGAGAGAAGGAGACACAGAATCCGAAGCAGGCTCCAGGCTACAGCTGTCAGCACAGAGCCCGATGGGGGACTTGAACTCATGAACCGTGAGATCATGACCTGAGCTGAGGTCGGACGTTTAACGTACTGAGCCACCCAGGCGCCCAAGATTTTATTTTGAAGTAATCTCTACATCAATGTGGGGCTTGAATGTATAGCCCCGAGATCAAGAGTCACAGACTCCTGAGCCAGCCAAGTGCCCCCATTTTGAAATTAATAAGGAACTAAAAGCCTTCCTGCTTTAAAAGCAAGAACACAGCAAGGATGTCTGTTCTCCCCCCAGTTTAACATTGGATGTTAGGTATCAGGTGATGATGCAGTTGGACAAGGGGAAACAACCAGAGGCCTAAGAATCCGAAGAGAAGTGGTAAGACTCGCCATCTGCAGAAGATAAGAGAGTACACCCGGAAATGCCAACAGAATGACTGTGAAGCTAATGCAAACACAGAAGAATTCAAATCCTAGAAAAATAAAGAATTAGTGTAAAAAAGAATAGCCTTCAGATGTAAAAGAACTCTTATGATACCAAAATAAAAAAACAAACCAATTTAGGGGCGCCTGGGTGGCTCAGTCGGTTAAGCGTTGGACTTCAGCTCAAGTCATGATCTCACAGTTCATGGGTTCAAGCCCCGCATCGGGCTCTGTGCTGACAGCTCGGAGCCTGGAGCCTGTTTCAGATTCTGTGTCTCCCTCTCTGTCTGACCCTCCCCTGCTCACACTGTCTCTCTCTCTCTCTCAATCTCTCTCTCTCTCTCTCAGAAATAAATTTTTTAAAAAAATTATAGGGGTCCTGGGTGGCTCAGTCGGTTGGGCGTCCAACTTCAGCTCAGGTCATGATCACACGGTTTGTGGGTTCGAGCCCCGTGTCGGGTTCTGTGCTGACAGAATCTGGAGCCTGATTCAGATTCTGTATCTCCCTCTCTCTCTGACCCTCTGCTGCTCATGCTGGCTCTCTTCCTCTCTCAGAAATAAATAAAACATTTAAAAAAATTTTTAATTAAAAAATAAAAAACCAATTTATTTTTTTAAGTTTATCTTGAGAGAGAGAGAGAGAACAGTCGGGGAGGGGCAGAAAGAAACGCGGACAGAAGATCCAAAGCAGGCTCTGCTGACAGCAGGGAGCCCAATGTGGGGCTCAAACTCACGAACCGGGAGATCATGACCTGAGGAAGTCAGACGCTTAACCGACTGAGCCACCCAGGCGCCCTTAAAAAACAAACCAAGTTAAAAGCAGGCAAAAGATCTCAGTAGATAGGTCTCTAAAGAATATGTACAAATAGCTAATAAATACATGAAAAAATACTCAAGTGTCGTTAGCCGCTAGCAAAATGCAAATCAAAGCCACAGTGAGCTACCACTTCATACCCCCTGAACTGGCAAGAATAAAAAGGACAGACAGGTGTTGGCAAGGATGTGGGGAAACCTCCCAACATTGCCGGTAGGAATGTCAAATGGTGCGGCTACTTTGGGAGACAGTTTGGGACCTCTTCAGAATGTTAAAAATAGAGTTAACGTATGAGAGCCTTTCCGTTTGTAAGTATCTACGCAAGAGAAATAAAAACAGACGTGCACAGAATGTGCACAGTGGGATTATTTATAACAGCCAAGAAGTGCAACTAACCTAGGTGGTCATCGATTGACGGATAACAAATGGCCCTATGTCCCCGTTCAATGGGCCGTTATTAAGCTGCAGAAAGGATTGAAGTGTTGATACTGACTACGACCTGAATGAGCCTCACAGACATCATGCCCGGTGAGAGAAGGCAGTCACCAAAGAACACATGCTGTATCGTTCAGAAGAGGTGTATCCACAGAGACAGGACCTAGGTGGGTGAGCACACGTCTAGGGCTGGAGGGTGTGGGATATGGGGGGTAAGGAGGGCTTCCTCTTACAGTGATCCAGACATTCTGAAGTTAGTAGTGACCATTGTACAACCTGATTATGCTGCAAACCACTGGATCGTTCGCTTTAAGCAGGTGACTTCATGATGTATCAGTGATGGTTCAGTGAAGCTATTAAGAAAGTAATAGCCTCGGGAAGCCTGGGTGGCTCAGTCAGTTAAAGTGTCTGACTTTAGCTCAGGTCATGATCTTGCAGTTCATGAGTTCGAGCCCCACGTTGGGCTCTGTGCTGACAGCTGGGAGCCTGGAGCCTGCTTCAGATTCTGTGTCTCCCTCTCTCTCTGACCCTCCCCCACTCACACTCTGTCTCTCTCTTTCAAAAATAAATAAACATTTTTTTAAAATGTTCAATATATTCGGGGTGCCTGGGTGGCTTAGTCGGTTAAGCGTCCGACTTTCGCTTAGGTCATGATCTTGCGGTTCGTGGGTTCGAGCCCCGTGTCGGGCTCTGTGCTGACTGCCAGCTCAGAGCCTGGAGCCTGTTTCAGTCTGTGTCTCCCTCTCTCTCTGACCCTCCCCTGCTCACGCTGTCTCTCTCTCTCTCTCTCCTAGAAATAAATTAACAAAAAAAAAACCATTAAAAAAAATGTTCAATATATTCTTTGCTACATCTGACTGGCTCAGTCTATAGAGCATGCAACTCAATCTTGGGGTTGTGGGTTCGAGCCCCACACTGGGTATAGAGATTACTGAAAAATAATATCTTTAAAATATTCCTTGATACAGAATGATCTCAAATGACATTTAAATGTCATGTTTCATGCAGTCTCACTGTTAGAAACCAAGAAGAACAGAGACCCAGGAGGGCCTCCCATGAACTCGTACGAGAAGACCTTCCAACCTGTGAAGAAAGGTAACGTCTCATTGTTTAGCTTACTAAACTGACAGAAATGCTAGCCTTCTTATTTTTATTTTTTTTGCATTGGAACACAGTTTCTCTTACTGCAATTTAATAACAAATCATAATGTGGCACCACATCTTCTCTCTGCAGAATTCATTATGTGACAGAAAAATTAGTTCCATTATTAACCGCATCCCTGCTAATCACAAATATAAATCGATGCTTCTTGACTAAACATGACATTATCCTATTTTCACATGGTAGACTTTTAAAAAGACCATGGTGAGGGTCGCCTGGGCGGCTCAGTCGGTTAAGCGTCTGACTCTGGCTCAGGTCATGATCTTGTGGTTCGTGAGTTTGAGCCCTGCATCAGGCTCTGAGCTGTCAGCACAGAGCCTGGAGCCTACTTCAGGTTCTGTGTCTCCCTCTCTCTCTCTCTCTCTGCCTCTTCCCTGTTCATTCTCTGTCTCTCTGTCTCTCAAAAAAAGAAAGAATAAACATTTTTTAAAAACTTTTTTAAGTGTTTCATTTATTTTTGAGACAGAGCATGAGTGGTGGAGGGGCAGAAGTGGTTTTTTTCTGCATTCTTTATCTTATTTATCCTTACCCAGACTTTTCAAAGTCTGGGAAGCATATTAAAATCTTCCACAATTTGGGGCACTTGGCACGCTCAGTTGGAAGGGTTTGAGGCTCTTGATCTCAGGGTCGTGAATTTGAGCCCCACATTGGATGTGGAGATTACTGAAGAAATAAATAAAAACTTAAAAAAAAATCTTAACACAGTTTATGAGTTTAAAAAATTTTTTTAATGTTTTATTTATTTCTGAGAGAGAGAGAGAGAGAGACAGTGTGAGCAGGGGAGGGTCAGAGAGAGTGAGACACAGAATCTGAAGCAGGCTCCAGGCTCTGAGCTGTCAGCCCAGAGCCCCATGTGGGGCTTAAACTCATGAACCATGAGACCATGACCTGAGCCGAAGTCGGACGCTTAACCGACTGAGCCACCCAGGCGCCCCAAGAAGGATCATTGTTAACTGATCTCAATATATTTAAAATATAAGTAAACATAAACTAAAACAGGGAGTCCAAAATTAAGAATAGCAGGTCCCCTCGTGGAGGAGGGCGCCAGGCCAGCAGCGTGTGGGCAGGACGCCAAGGCAGGTGTGGCTGTTGAGGGTGCTGTTCACTCTCAAGGTGAATGCTGAACTCACAGTGGGTGTTTGTCACCCTTTGTAACTTGCAGTTATAGAGCATATTCTTTTCTCTCTTTAAAATTCTCTTTCCAATGTAAATCTTTTCTTAATGCTTATTTTGAGAGAGAGACAGAGAGTATGAGCAGGGGAGGGGTGGAGAGGGAGGGAGACACAGAATCAGAAGCAGGCTCCAGGCTCTAAGCTGTCAGCACAGAGCCCAATGCAGGGCTTGAACCCACAAACCTTGAGATCACGACCTGAGCTGAAGTCCGACGCTCAAGCAACTGAGCCACCCAGGCGCCCCGTCTCTTTCCAGTTTTAAAAACCACTAAAGAGACACAGTCCCGTTGCTGTTCTGGAAGGCGGTGTGCTGAGGTCTGACTTAGCCCTGTCACAGGGGACTGGAGAGTTCTGGTCAGATGCTTCTAGAATTTTTCTTCACTGTTACAAGTTTAAAGCTTTGCCAGGACTCCTCTAGGTGCAAACCCGTGTGTTCTGAGCAGTTATTCTAGCGCTTGGTTTGCAAGCACTTTGGCCGTGGCCATGCCCTCCAGCTAAGCAATTTGAAAGCCGTGCACTCCAGCAAAAACAGTTCCGTAGTCACGGCTGTTTGCTAAAGGCTTCAGGAAATGAGAACAGCGCTCTCTTCCCAAAAGGGCCTGGGCACACGCTTCCATTCTCAGATGGGGCGAAAGCTGTGTTTCTAGCGATGAATTTCAAAGGGATCACCAGTAACATGGGTCCATCCTGCCCCTTGCTTTCTGTCCCCACTGAAGCCCCAGCCCCACTCTGGAAGAAGTGAACGCGTGGGCACAGTCATTTGACAAGGTGGTGCTCACTCCGGCGGGGAGGAACGCCTTCCGGGAATTCCTCCGAACGGAGTTCAGTGAGGAAAATATGCTCTTCTGGATGGCGTGTGAGGAACTGAAGAAAGAAGCTAACAAGACCATTATTGAAGAGAAGGCCAGGATCATCTATGAAGACTACATTTCTATTCTTTCTCCTAAAGAGGTAGGTACCCACCAAAGCTTTCCTCCCAGGGGGCCGTGGCTCAAATGATCCCCCTCACTGTTGGGTCACCTGAGATGGTGGAGAAAACACCCATAGTGTCCGGGTGCCTTTGACTGTGGCCTCACAGGCGGGCTTTGAGTGCCCCGCTACACTCTCTGAAAGACTTCGTGCATTTTTCTGGAAAAATAGCATTCGTGACTTTCATCAGATTCTCCAGAAGGGGGAGTCTATGCATTTTATTGTAAATACTGTTTAAAAATTATTCTACCCTGTAAGCATTAAACAAAAGTATCCTTTTCTTCTGAGCAAAATCTTTTTTACAGCTATTTTTATTTTAGGTGAAATAGCATCGCTGATGTGATACGGAGGCTGCGTAGGTTTTCCCTACGGCGTCCTTTCCTGTGTCAGAGAAACTACCAGATGGGTGAAATCAATCAAGTTTCCATCGCCCGCTTTTTGTTCCTTCAAAGGCAGAATCTGAGGGGTCAAGTTGATCTCAAAACCTAGTGTCTTGTAGCTCCGATTGTGAAATCACCCATTATTTCACACTCTGTGCTTCTAACAATATAAAGTCAATAAGCTTCGGTCAAGGGGGCAGACAGACGTGGAGCCCCTGGTGTGTGACATGGGCTGGGGGAGTGCACTGTCAATGGGGGAGGAGGGAAGGGAATGAGGCAGAGGTCCTAGAAGAGACCATGGACGGACTAAGGACATGGGGCGGAAACTACCAGAAACACGACGGGTGGACTAGGTGTGCCAAGGACAGAAGCGGGCCATCGGGTGACCTGGAAGACTGTCGTGTGGCTTGCAGAGTGTGGCATGTTCACCAAACCGTGAGCGCCTGCACACGGTGGAGGCAGGAAGAGTGTGTAGAAAAGGGGGTGGTCCCAGAACATCGAGGGGCTTGGGGGCCATGCTGGGGTTTCCTGACTGTTATCTCAGGAAGCCCTTTGAGTTTAGCCTGGCAACGTCATCGAATTGGGGTCTTCGAGAGACCAGTATGGCCGCAGAATGGAGTAGGAGGAGAAGACGAGAGGCAGCGGGGGTTGGCAGGCTTATTCACTAGTGTAGACGGGACCCGAGGAGCCGGATTGGGGTCAGCCTAAGGGAAACCAGAGAGGTGGGGTTTGATTTGAGGTGAGTCCCAGCCTCTGGACGATTCCCACGTGTCCGGGCAGACTGGACGGTGGCACAGCTCGTGGAAATTGGGTAGAGGGGCTGGGATCGTGCCCGGGAGAAAGACCACCGGGCCAACTTCGCTTACTTACGTCTGTGTGTTTAAGTTGGACATACTCCGGTGATAGATGTGTGAAGGTGGAGTTCAGAAAGTCCTTTCCATTTTGGATGAATAGAGGCAAGAGAACTCTTATACTTCAATTTATGGCTTCTACATATTATTTTGTCATGATTTTTCCTTATTTTTTCTGAGCTACGATTTTCATCGCTTTTTTTTTTTAAGTTTTTTATTTATTTCTGAAAGAGAGAAAGACAGTGTGCGCAGGAGGGGGTCAGAGAGAGAGGGAGACACAGAATCCGAAGCAGGCTCCAGACTCTGAGCCAGCCGTCAGTACAGAGCCCGATGTGGGGCTTGAACCCACAAACCGTGAGATCATGACCTGAGCCAAAGTCGGATGCTTAACCGACTGAGCCACCCAGGCGCCCCCATTGCTGACTTTTAAAGCATCATATAACCAAAACACTCAATATCAAATGTGTGAAGCAAAAAGGATATACAAAGATGACCCTTTCTTCCCAACTGGAAGTGTCCATTACTTGAAATAGAAAAGCATGACATATTTTTAATAGCTTAGATTCTGGGGTGGGATTCACATGAGTCTGAACCCTGGTTCTCTCATTTAATGGCTCTATAACCTTTGGTATATTTCGGCACCTCTCTGGACGTCTGTTTCCTCATCTGTACACAGGAGGCATCACCAGTTTCCCGCTCGTCTGGGAGGGTTCCAAGGGAGGATGGACGCAAAGCCCCGGCATGGCCCCGAGCACCGTCGTCACACCCTGGATGGCCTCTTCGTGAAGCTACCTCCCTTCATTCCATTGTCCCGAGCAGACACCCCCCAGCCCGTCTTCGTGCGGAGCGGTAGCTGTAGCCATTCCGTGCGTGCCCTGCTCCGTGTGAACCAAATGGTCCTCAGTGGTTTCTGCACCACATCCGTTTACTTCTCCAACAAGAGCAGGCGATTTCTTCCTCAGCCAATGACATGTATCAGGCCCCTCCTTCGGCAGGAGCTGTGTCCCTGGGCACCCGGCCCTGACTCTCAAGAAGCTTCTACCTGAGGATTGCCTAGTGCTGAGGGCCGCTGTGGGAATGAGCTCGGGGGCAAGGGGCCGACAAAGGTTCTTGACCCAGAAGGGAAGGATGTGTGAGTTCAGTTCATGGGGAAGGTGTGAGCCCAGCAGCCTGCCCTGGTCTAGGAGACGGCCTTTCCTAGGATGCGTGAAACATCAGAGAACGAAGAGCCAGCATCTCCTGGGGACTTGCTGAATTCCAAGCGCTGTAAATAAAAATTCTCGTTAAATCCCCACCAACTACCATCACCATCATCCCCTTTACGGAGGAGTTTGCTAGGGCACAGTTTCCTTTGCCGAAGTCCCCACGGCTAGGCGGTGACATAGCTGGGATTTAACAGCCGCGCTGTGAACCCTTCCACGGTGCTCTAGTTTAGCTTCCAGTCCCCAGCCGGCCTGACCCTCATTCCCAGAAATCAGTGACTGTATTCTTAGCCAGTTACAGCCTGGGACCTCAAGGTTTTAGCCCACGTGGTAGTAAGAAATTAGCAAGGTCTAAGTCTGTGCATGCCGTCATTTTTCTTCAAAGGACATTGCACAGTCATTTTAAAGAAGGAAAACGGGGTACCTGGGTGGCGCGGTTGGTTAAGCATCTGACTCTTGATCTCCGCTCAGGTCATGATGTCACAGTGTCTGGGTTTGAGCCCCTTGGGATTCTGTCTCTTCTTCTCTCTTCCCCTCCACAGCTTGTGCTCGCTCACTCTCTCAAAATAAATAGATTTTAAAAACTTTTTTAATAAATAAAGAAGGAAAACAATGTTGTGGTTTCCTAAAGCACCACGATCCCCACCAGCATTACTTGTGGGAAATTCACATTGTCCACCTTCCCCAGACCCACCCGAGTCCAAAACTCTGCAGGTGGAGCCCAGCAAGCTGCGTACCAAGCCTTCCGGGGGCTTCTGATGCCACTGAAGTGAGAGAACAACCACCACCACCCCACCCCCCGTTCATTATGTGTTCAGTTTCTCTCTCAGCAATTTAGATTCGTGGATGACCTTGTTTGGTGTGGGACTTTTAAAAAACCAAACAAGCCACGGGAGACTTGTAGGGATTTCCAAAGAGAGCTGTATGTAATACACCTCTTACTTGTTTTGATTGACAGGTCAGCTTGGACTCCCGAGTAAGAGAGGTCATCAACAGGAACATGGTGGAACCCTCTCAACACATATTTGATGATGCGCAACTCCAGATCTACACCTTAATGCACAGAGACTCATACCCCAGATTCATGAACTCTGCCCTCTATAAAGATCTGCTTCAGTCCTTATCTGAGAAATCAGCTGAAGCCTAGGATGTTCTCAAATATATTTATTATTAATAAAATAATAAAAGAACTCATGGACTATGTCTAGTACAGGGAACTTAGAGATAGTAGCATCTCCTGCTAGAGTAATACTCGGGCTATTTTAATAACAGATGCTTCCTTCCCCGGGAGGCTGTATATTCACAACGTAAATCACAGCCACCTTTTGGAGAACAATGGGGTCGGCTGTCTTAGATAAAGATAGTATGTTTACATTTACAGTAACTAGCATGTCGCGAATGGCAAAGAACACACTGGAAGACTATACTGCCTGGGGCGTGTACGCCCACAGGAGCAAACAGGACTGCTTTTGTTTTGCATGAGTCCAGTATCTGAAGACTCTCCTCCCAAAGAAAAGGCATTCAAGTGTTTCTTAGCTACTCCTGCCTTCCATCAAGCTGTTCTATTTTGCCTCTCAGCGCCATTACTGGACCCAAATCCCTGTTTTATAAAGATGCGTCACCACTACTTATAAAACGGTATTCCACGCTCAGAATACGTGTATGCGGGTACATATAGGTGCGTGTGTATCTATACTAGTTAATGTAAAGTACTGCGCTCGTAAGCGGATCGGTCTCCTGTGTGGTAAGGAAAGCAGTGTTGAGACAGTTTTGTTGAAAAGTCACCATTGTTTTATTATCAGAATCTGCCAGCCTAAAGAATGAATTTTTAATCCACAGCGTAGTCGTGTTCATAACAAAACTTTCAAATAAGCGTATTTCCGTTTTTTATTATTCAGAGAAATATGGGCATTTTCACTCTAAAAAAATAAAGCACAAGAGTTTTATCTCCATTTTTTTTTCACATGTGAATATTTGAGAATGTAAGATTAAGTAAGTAGAGTTGGTTACGTGCAAGGTACTGTTTCTTGGCTGGACTAGGACTCTATTTTTATTGTTGGCAAATGGGGTAATAGCTTACGGGTACAGCTAGTGATTTGTATACTTGAACCATCCTGGAGAAAAACCCTTCGCTGCAGTGAATGGGAAGGACCTCCAAAATCTGGAATGGCTTGAGTAGCAGGTTGGAAATTAATGTGCAAGGGAGCGCTGGGGTGGCTCAGTCGGTTAAGTATCTGACTCTTGATCTCGGCTCAGGTCATGATCTCGCAGTTCATGAGTTCAAGCCCCAAATTGGACTTTTCGCTGACAACACAGAGACTGCTTGGGATTCTCTACCTCCCTCTCTGTCTACTTCTCTCTCTCTCTAAAATAAACAAACATAGAAGAAGAGGAGAGGAGCAAAGAAAAAAGAAAAGGAAAGAAAGTAAGGTGCCAGGGGCCCACAGCAGGCTTCACCCCACAGGGGAGGGCTTTCCTCGTGGTCATCCACATGGCCCTTCGGCCTGACAGCGTCTTCATTACTTTCTTCGAGCCCCAGACTAAGGCCCTTGGCCACCTTACCTCTTAGTTTCCTGTGAGTACATGTCCCTGACCCTGTCGTCTTCCTGTGTAACCTACAAATATGTCCGGAAGGGCATCTCCCCTCTGTCTTGTCCTGAGAAATGATGTACCCTTTCCTCCTTGTTTCTAAATTTATTCTGAGAAAGTGAGCAGGGGAGGGGCAGAGAGGGACTCCCAAGCAAGTTGCTTGCTGTGGGCACAGAGCCCGACCCGGGGCTTGATCTCCCGACTATGAGATCGTGACCCGAACCGAAATCAAGAGTTGGACAGTCAACCGACTGGGCCACCCAGACGCCCCTCTTTCCTCCTTTTCAAGGGATCAACCCCTTACATGTGGTTTTGATTCCGCAGTCGACGGTCTCATGTTCTCACTAGACAGGGGATCCGACTGTGAGTGAAGATGAGCCCTCTCTCTCCTCTACACACTGAGGATGACCCGGGTCCTCGGCCACTACCTCACACTGTGGAGACAGGGAGGAACTTGGGCTAGAGAAGGCCTGCGGGGCGACAGAAGATTCGGGCAGAGGGGACGCCAAAGCTACAACACACAGGGGTGTGTGAGAGTGAGTGTGTGTGTGTGTGTTTGTGTGAGTGTGTGTGTGAGTGTGGCGGGGCAGAGGTTTAGGGAAGGTATTTGTAACGGAACAACCCAAAAGCGCCCTGTCGCGGACCTGCGGACATGAAGTGACGGAAGATGCAAAGACCCCAGTCGGATGGGGTCCCGGGTGCTGGGATTTTACGTGGAGGATTTGGGAATTTTCAACGCATCTGAGTCCGGCTGGCCGAGGAGCTCGAGCGTGGAAACAGCCGGCGGTAAGTCCTCGCAAGGACGGACGGAGAGCGAGCCCCGGGACGCGGCAGCAGGGACGGCCGGCCCCGCACTCGGCACCCCCCCCCCCCCGCCCGGGGCTCCGGCCATCGTCACCCTCGCCCTCCCGGACCGCGTGCGTCCCGGGCTCCCCAGACCCGCTGACCCTCCTTCCTCATCACACTTCGCACTCCTGCTGTGTCGGTCTCGGCACCTCCACGCCCGCTCCGTGAACGCCTGCAGGGCCCCCACCTGCCAGGCCTGACACAGTGTTGGGGGGGGGCTCCCTGACCCGGGGGGGGGCACAACCCTCCTGGGCCTGGGGCCTGGGGCCTCGGCTATGAAAACAGGGACGATGATGGGGCGCCTGGGTGGCTCAGTCGGTTAACTACGACTTCAGCTCAGGTCATGAGCCCACGGATTGTGGGTTCGAGCCCCGCGTCGGGCTCTGTGCTGACAGCTCAGAGCCTGGAGCCTGCTTCGGATTCTGTGTCTCCCTTTCTCTCTGCCCCTCCCTCATTCATGCTCTGTCTCTCTCCGTCTCAAAAATAAATAAACTATTAAAAAAAAAGAAAGCAGGGACGATGAGGGCCTCTTCCCCTGGCACTGCCGTGCAAATCCTAACCAGTCGACGGCTGGCTCGCTCGGTAGAGCAGGCGACTCTCCATCTCAGGGTTGACGTGGAGCCTCACGTTGGATGTAGAGACGATTTAAAAACAAAATCTTAAAGGGGGCACCCGGTGGCTCAGTTGGTTAAGCGTCCGACTCTTGATTTTGGCTCAGGTCCTGATCTCACAGTTCGTGAGATCGAGCCCTGCATCAGGCTCTGCGTTAACAGTGCGGAGCCTGGTTGGGATTCCCTCCCTGCCCCTACCCCGTTTGTGCTCTCTTTCTCAAAATAAAGAAACTCTAAAAATAAAATCTTAAAAAAAACGAATCCATATAAAGATTTATATGATTTACTATAAATTTACATTTACTACGCGTGAGTTCTTGCCATTATTACTCAAACCGTGAGATCATGACCTGAGCGGTCGTCGGACACCTAACCGGCCGAGCCCCCCAGGCGCCCCTGACGCCCTTGGTTCTTCGATCCCCTCCCCATTGTTTAAATTACTGCCCACGGGCTCACAGCTCCCAAATCAGGACCTGGTAGACCTCCTCCGTGCATCCCAATCAGCTGCCTGGGGACATCTCCCCTTGCGAATCCCACAGAGGAGCGAAACTCATCTAAATTCTGACGTAGCGCCCCCCTGCCTCCAAGCCCCACCCCAGCCACCCGGCCAGTCCCCTAAGCTCTCATCCAGGTGCTGACTTCTCCCTGCTGTCTCCTCGCAAACAAAACCACCGAGCCCTGCTGGTCTTTCCTTCCAAATATTTCTCATGGCTTTCTTCTCCTTCCTCCTTCCCACCCCCATCATCTCACACCTGCCACTGTCATTGCCAAGAGCCTCCTGGCTGATCTCCCTGCCCTGATCTCTCAGCCTTTCAAATCCACCTTTCAGGGGCGCCTGGGTGGCCTAGTCAGTTAAGCCTCCGACTTTCTCGCTCAGGTCATGATCTCGCGGTTCGTGGGTTCGAGCCCCGCGTCGGGCTCTGTGCTGCCTGCCAGCTCAGAGCCTGGAGCCTGTTTCAGTCTGTGACTCCCTCTCTCTCTGACCCTCCCCTGCTCACGCTGTCTCTCTCTCTCCTAGAAATAAATAAAATAAAATAAAATAAAATAAAACAAATCCACCTTTCAAAATGCCTCAAGGCAATCTTTCTCACATGCAAATCCGCCCAACACCCTCCCTCTGTCCCTTAGAATGTTTAGTAGCTCCCAACTGCCCATAGGACAAATACCAAATTCTTAGTCTGGTGTACAAGCAAGGACCTCTATACTCAGGATATGGCCCCCTAGCCAAGCCCACACACGGTTTAGATTCTAGAATATATACTTATAGACAAGGCGCTTCTTACTTTCATAACTGCTCATCTGTTCAGACTTTGTTAATCATTCCCCTCTCTACAATGCCACCCTTCAGTCAGCTAGCTCCAGTCATTCCTTAAGATTTACCCACACGTTACTGCCTCCAAGAAGCCTTACCTGACCTCCACGTCCATACTTCCATTGTGTTGGGCGCCATTCTTGAGGATTCCAGGGTTTTCCTATACACATACTTACCTGAGTTTACAAATCATGTTCACATATCTATCTGTCTCTCCCCTGAGACAGTAAGCTCCAGAGGCATTGGAAATAGACCTTATCCCTCATTATAGTATAATCTAGTTAAGAACAGTATTCAATAACTGTTTGTAGAACTGGAGAGCTACAGCATGAAAATGGAATTTCTGTAGTGAAAAAACAAAAATTCCATTCCAAATGTGTTTCTCAATGTGTCACATCTCAGAGAGAGTTCATCACGGCCCATGTGGCTACAGAACTCACTACCACTACCAACTAATCCAGGGACTCAATCGGTAGTGACATCTGTGTGTAGGAAAGAATCCAGAGGCCACCCCAAATGTATCCTACAAAGTCAATGCAATTCCAAGGTTTTTGAAAATTCCTAAGTAAACTTTGAAGTTTTTTTTGTTGGGGTGGATGGTGCTTCATGTGGAAAAAAATGGGTATATAAACAAATATAAATTCCAAAAGAGCTTAAAGATCGAAAAGCTTTTTAAAATAAGAACATTATAAGAATATTAGAAAAAAATGTAGACAATATTTTTATAACTTCAGATGGGAAAGGTCTTTTTTTTTTTTTCAGGTTTAATCACTTATTTTGAGAGAGAGAGAGAGAGAGAGAGAGAATCCCAACCAGGCTCCGCACTGCCAGCACAACGCCCAATGCAGGGCTCAAACCCACAAACCAATGAGATCATGACCAGAGCCGATATCAAGAGTCAGATGCTTAACTGACTGAGCCACCAAGATGCCCAGGGAAAGGTCTTCCTAAGCAAAACATAAAACCCAGAAACCATAAAATACTAATAGATTGGATTTGATGAAAAAAACTTAAATTTTGTGCCATAAAGACAACACAAAAAGTTTAGAAAACACACTAAAGAGCACTATGCAGAGTGCATTAGCAGTACCTACAGATGAGTAAGACAACTCTATAGACGAAAAAGGAAAGACAGAATACATTAGAATTAACAGAAGAAATCAATGGGCTATAAAGATGAGCAGAGGGGCACCTGGGTGGCTCAGTCGGGTGAGCATCCAACTCTTGATTTCAGCTCAGGTCATGATCTCGCAGTTCATGGGATTGGGCCTGCGTCCGGCTCTGCAGTGACAGCACAGAGCCTGCTTGGGAGTCTCTCTCTCCCTCTCTCTCTCAAAATAAATAAATAAACATAAAAACAAAAAGATGAGCTGGAGGCACCTGGCTAGCTCAGTTGGTTAAGCAACCAACTTCAGCTCAGGTCATGATCTCATGGTTGGTGAGTTCAATCCCCACATTGGGTCTGTACTGACAGCTCAGAGCCTGGAGCCTGCTTTGGATTCAGTATCTCCCTCTCTCTCTGCCTCTCCCTCACTCACACTTTGTCTCTTTCTCTCTCAATAATAAATAAACATTAAAAATTTTTTTAATTTAA